AGCTCTAAGAATCCTTTCCCTCTTCTTATTCATCTTCAACCATCCATGCTAAGGCATGGTGAACAAGTTCACTTGTCCTTGGCCATGCCTAGCCGTGTCACCTCATCTGATTACTCATAAGAAACCTCTTACATCCTTTGCTCGAGTTGTGTCTTCTTCCACAGTTGAACCATTTATGTTATCCCTCCTAAAGCCTTGTTGGAAGAGAGATGCATTAACAATTAAAATTCTTGATGAAGCATATCAAGAAGGATTAGCTAGATGTTTGAATCACCTCCATGGAAAAGTTCTCCTCACCAAGGGTTAAAAATTGTTCAAGATTGATGAATAGTATGCCAAACTATCATTGCTATGGTGCAAGATTGCTGGTTAGAAAATAATTTTTCTTGGTAGAGGCCTTTTTGAATTTGAATTTCAAAAGAATGCAAATCTTAAGATAGTTCTTGTAGTTGGTCTTTGGATTTTGGAGTCAAAAATTCTGAGGCTTTCATTGTGAAAACCATACTTCAATCCAAGATTGTATAAGAATTCCCATGTGCAGGTACGGTTGTGAATCTTTGACCTACATAGGAATACTGGAGTCTAAGAATCATCTTCTATTTGTCCTCATGTCATTAAATTGGCCATGTTGCATCTCAATGTAGGCAATATTAGTTGTTGGTCTCAGATAGAACATGAATCTAGAAAGAAGGTTGGATAGATTCTTCGTTTAGAAGGCTTTTAATGATCTTTCTTTCTCTCTTACTAATATCTATCTTTCTTATACAACTTTTCACTAATCACATTCAGATTACAAACCAAACAAGATATAATGTATATCATATTTATTATACATCGGAATAGAAGTTGTAATCCAAATTAATTTTATTAATTATCTTCCTTCACTTTATTACTAGATTACATATATCATATCAGATTTTACAAATCAGCAATCTATAATATTCAAGAAAACGTTTCTTTTACTATCTTGAAATTTTTCTTATCAATTTAATATGAATTATAACAAGATACAAAGGTAAAGAGAGAAATTGCGAAGTGATCTATATTGGTTTAGCCATACAAAGGCTTGCGTCCACTGTCAGACTTAGCTCCCCGCTAAATTTAGTCTTTCTAATATAATATTCTTTACAAACACCATGTATAAGCAATATTATAATCAGAAAACACAATCACCTAATATTGATCCCACAAGATTATACGATCACCATAATTTTTGCACCTCAAGAATCCACTTGAGAAAACCTATCTCAAGATTTTTCTTTCACTCTTTCTTGAGATACCCTTATCTCAAATAGTCACATACCATAGCATACCCAACTATACAAAACAAAAATTTAAATATCAGAATTGATACACTTGATGTGTAGATTGATCTTCCACAAAGAATTGTTCAACAATCTCGAATTTCTTGAACTTCTTTCAACAAAAATCTTTCTTAAATTTTCTTTGCTCTTTGATTATTCTAAAAATATTTGTTCTTCACTCAAAAATGATTTTCAGATTCTTAAAAATGTTTTTCTTTTTCACTCTTTGATCTTTCTAATCAAATATGTCATACTCCTTTTTAGTTTTTGAAAAAGAGTTATATTTATAGAGCAAATAAGATTTCAACATTAAAAACACGTAATAGTAGTAATCTATTATCAATATCAAGTAATCTATTATTAGTTTTTAATGAAACTGAAATTTGTTGAAACAAGAATTAAGGTAATTGATTACTGATCATGGTAATCGATTATCTCATGTTCCAGGAACCATAAAACTCATTTTTCAGTAAAGGTAATTGATTACTGAAGTTGGTAATCAATTATCTTGATGATTTTCTAACTTGTTTCACTTGTTTTTACTCAAAAGTCACCATGATAATCAACTACATCAATAGGTAATCGATTATCACAGAAAGGATTTTGAATTCCACCTTAAAACTAAGTTTCAGTAATCTATTACCTCAAATGATAATCTATTACTTGACTTAATCATGAATTCTTTTGAATAAACCAAGTTCCATTTTATGTCAAAACACATTGTAATCTTTTACATTATGTTTTCATATGAAATGAGAAACATTAAGTTGAAATATGAGTTTTATGCCTTCTAAAACAAGATGTAATTTAGAAAATAATTTATCATAATAAGCAAACACATCCAAGTCTAAGTCTAATAACAAGCAATACAATATCCTTTTCAACATAGACCATGAAATACAAAAATTAATGAAGCAAACTAAATAAATCTATACAAATCTAATGCTAACATCATCAAAATAAAACTTCTTTAGTCTATATAAAAATCTTCATGAGGGGTTTTAGTAATTGACTCAGTAATTAACTCAACAATTACCATAACTTCAACAATCTCAACAATAAACTCAACATTAGTTTGATGGGTCTGGTACTATGAAGACAAAATTGGTTTCAAAATCTTGTGCTAAATGAAATATTGATGATCTTGGAGATACCCCGAAAACAACCCATGGTTGGGGATGCTGGTATAAAATCAAGAATTTACTCATAGTTTGATGTTGTTTCGAGGTTTGAAGATGTTTCAAATATTGATTATGGCCCTATAGCTGGTGTTAATCATAGAGGTTTCTACTTTTGGTGGTCCTATTGTTGCAATAATGTAAAAAATCCATGTTGTGATAGACTCAAGAGAACAATCTCATGTTACTCATATCTTAACAATTGGTGTTAGATCAAGGGAGGTTTTTGCTCTTGGTGCTTTCGATGTTGCAACCATGCCTCATATTCATGTTGTATCAGATTCAACTTTGGATTTTGGTTCAAAAATAGAATATGGTGCATCTAATCCAATTGAAAAGGTAGCAGCCAATGTTTTAGTAGTTAAGTCTGATCCTACAAAGAAAGATGGAGATTAGCAGGTTAATTAGGGACTTTCTGGTGTTATCCCAAAAATTGATTTTTGTTTTGTAGCAAAACATAAAAATTGGTCTCTCTTTGCCAATTTTGACTTGGAATCGGATGAAGTAACTGGTTTGGCCCTTATTTTGGATGAACATGAGCATATACAATACTTTGCTCATGCAATGGATTCTCAAATACAACCTATTCCTTTTGCAGTTCTGATTTCATATGACCAGGTGAAGGATAATCAATCTGTTTGGGTAGTGGATCAGACTAATTGTACAACTTTTGGATTTTTGGATGGCATGCCTCTTCTTGAGGATATTTTTGATGCTCATGTGCAGTAGAACTTGGCTCTAAATTTAAATCAAGAGCATGCTACAACAACTCAATCTGCCCAACACAACTTTGATTCTGTTAGGAATAACCTTCCAATTATTGTTACTGTCCCAGTTACATTTGTTGAGCATTTTAGTTCATCTCAACAACATATTAATCCAACTAATTTGTCAAAATTTTACCTTCAGTCCAGCAAAACTTAAATCTCCATGCAACCATTGGTTTTGATTAGACTACTCTTAAGGAGGAACAACATTTCAACAAGCAACTTCTAAAAGTCAAAAAGAAAAGCATTGAGCTATTGGTTTGATGTTTAGGACCTAATTAAAAGCTGCAAAGTCTACTAAATTCTCATGATGCTTCTATAATGGAGCACTTGGCTGTGGTGTTTTATCTATTGCATAATTAGTCTTTGCCTTACATGGTCATTTGATTCCAACTTTGAATGTTGGTGTTGGTCCAAGCTTGATAATCTTAAATTTGGTTCAGTTGCTAGTTCAGAGCTAGTTGTTGTTCCTGGTTCAACTCCACATGTTTTTGCAACAATGACCTTTTCATGTTGTAGTTCTTGGCTTGGGTGGAGAATCTGACAACATGATCCCTTGCTGATATGGCTTCTCTCACTAGTTCTGATCCATGTTTCTAGTTTTGTTGCTAGGCATTATTGTCATTTAATTCCAGCAATGCATGTTGGTATTGATCCTTGCTCTCAATTTTGTTTTGGTAGTGATTACCAATTATGGTGCTACAACAAAACATGTCATTAATAAACATGAATATAGTTCAGTTGTTGCTTTAAAGCCAATTATTCTTGGTTCAGTTGCTCATGTTTTGTAACATAGGTTTTTATTTTTTATTTTTTGTATCTGATTCAATTGGAGATATTAATTGCATTCTTAGTTGATATGGTTCCTCTCAATGGCTCTAATCTTTCTTCAGGTGTTGTTTATGATTTTACAACTAGGCACAATTTTATTTTTTTTCTTCTTTCTTTTACTTTTACTTTTCACTTGTACTATTCTTTGATGGGTTAGGTTTGGTTCCCCAATATTAAAAAAAAAAAAAGAAAAAAGAATCCATGTCCTTTTGAATAATAAAAATATGTAAGAAGTAACAACGTTAATAACAAAAATAAAATAAAATAAGACTGATCAAAATTTTATTTATTAGAAAACTTCATAGTTTAAAAACATATTTAATCAATGAAAGCAAGAGAGATTCTAACATGAAGCACCATGTTAGGTGGTACATGGATGAAATACTAAATTAAAGTGTGAAGTTAAATGATAGACATGAGAAAGATTAGTTTTATTCGTTTAATTTATAATATAAAAAATTGAATGATGGTGATGTTGATTAACCTCATCTCCAACATCATGAGACAACCTTTCCCACCTCATCAGCATCTCCTTCGTCACTAGAAGCACCACTTCCTGTCCCAATCACGAAAGATTAATCTTTGTGGAAGCTTACTAATGTAATCTAGCACCATGGAAGACAAGCCCTAACATAATAGAATAATAAATCCCTGATTTTTGTAACTTAATATATATATATATATATATATAAAAAATCTCCGTTAATCTAAGTTTTCAGACAAAAGGATATATTTCAGTAATTACATTAATTATATTTGATATGAAGTAATTCTTTAAAATGTGAAATAATATATTAATAGTAGAATAAAAAGTTATAAATTTACTATTGCTTCACCTCTAACAGTAATTTCCAAAAATAGTAAAGATAAGTGTGTGAGTGGTAGCATATGCGGGAGTTGACTTCACTTCACTGCACTGCTTAAGTTCAAAGACTTGAAGGGTGGATGGAGTCATCGAGTAATCTTGATCCATGGGCCATGGCCATTGGCTGAACTATTATCCCTTGAGAACCAACCACAGCCGTTCAATTCCCGAATTCAGTAGCAGAAACAGAAACCAAGCACCGTCCCTTCCATTCCATCCATGCACGCCTTGTCTCCCACCCCAACCCCACACTTTGCAAACCAATTCTCCCTCGCCCACTTCTCCTCCCTCTGCAAAGATGGCCGAACCCACGAAGCCATCAAGTCCCTCACCCAAATGCACTCCCTCAACCTCCACGCAGGACCCGCCGTCTACGGCACCCTCCTCCAGGGCTGCGTCTACGACCGCGCCCTCCCCCTCGGCCTCCAACTCCACGCACACCTCATCAAGCGAGGCCCCTCCTTCTCCCAAAACGACTTCGTCCAATCCAAGCTCCTCATCCTCTACGCCAAATGCGGCGCATCCGACGTCGCCCTCCGCCTCTTCCGCGACTCCCGGGCCCCCAACGTCTTCTCCTGGGCCGCCATCATCGCCCTTCAGGCCCGAACGGGCCGCTGCCTCGAAGCGCTCTCCAGTTACATCAAAATGCAGCACGACGGGCTCCTGCCCGACAACTTCGTCGTCCCCAACGCCTTGAAGGCCTGCGGGCTTCTCCGCTGGGTTAAGTTCGGGCAGGGGGTTCACGCGTTCGCCGTGAAGACCACGGGCCTCAACGAGTGCGTCTACGTCGGCACTGGGCTTGTCGACATGTACGGGAAGTGCGGGGCTCTGGAGGACGCGGCGAGGGTGTTCGGTTCCATGGTTGAGAGAAACGACGTCGCGTGGAACTCCATGGTCGTGACGTACGCGCAAAACGGGGTCCACGAGGAGGCGATTAGGGTTTTTCGGGAGATGAGGGTGCAGGGAGTGGAAGTCACTTCGGTTGCTTTGTCGGCGTTTCTGAAAGCGTGTGCGAGTTTGGAGGCTGTGGGAGAGGGAAGACAAGGGCATGCCCTTGCGGTTGTGGCGGGGTTGGATTTGGACAACGTGTTGGGAAGTTCGGTTTTGAATTTCTATTTCAAGGTTGGTTTGGTGGATGAGGCTGAGGTGGTGTTTGGGGGCATGGTGGTGAAGGATGTGGTGACGTGGAATTTGGTTGTGTCCGGTTACGTGCAGTTCGGGATGGTTGGGAAGGCGATTGAGATGTGTCGTATGATGAGGGAGCGGAAATTGGGGTTTGATTGTGTGACGTTGTCTTCTTTGTTGGCTGTGGCTGCTGATACGAGAGATTTAGGATTGGGCATGGAGGCGCATGCTTATTGCGTTAAGAATGAGTTTGAGTGTGATGTGGTTGTTTTGAGTGGGATTGTTGATATGTACGCGAAATGTGGGAGGATGGATTGTGCTAGAACGGTTTTCGGCGGTGCCGGGAAGAAGGATGTTGTGCTGTGGAACACAATGCTGGCTGCTTGTGCTGAGCAGGGTCTTAGTGGGGAGGCCTTGAGGTTGTTCTTTCAGATGCAGCTCGAGAGCGTGCCTCCGAATGTGGTTTCGTGGAATTCGGTGATTTTCGGTTTGTTCAAGAGTGGTCAGGTTGATGAGGGGAGAAGGATGTTTGCAGAGATGTGCTCCTCTGGTGTTATGCCGAATTTGGTTACATGGACGACGGTGATGTCTGGTTTGGCTCAGAATGGACTTGGATATGATGCTGTGGTGGTTTTCAGGGAGATGCAGGGTGTGGGAATGAGGCCTAATGGAATGAGTATAGCTTCTGCACTCTCGGCTTGCACGAGTATGGCATTGTTGAAATATGGAAGGGCGATTCATGGGTATGTGTTGAGGCATGATATGTTTCGGTCTGTTCATGTCATTACCTCTGTAATGGATATGTATGCTAAATGTGGGGATTTGGATGATGCAAAGTGTGTTTTCGATATGTGTTCGACAAAGGAGTTGCCTGTGTACAATGCAATGGTGTCTGCATATGCATCACATGGTCAGGCTATAGAGGCTATTGCACTTTTTGAACAATTGGAGAAAGAAGGGATAGTGCCAGATCATGTAACCCTTACTGGTGTTTTGTCAGCATGCAGCCATGGGGGATTGGTGAAGGAGGGCATAGAGGTTTTCAAGTATATGGTGTATGAACTTGGAATGCAACCGAGTGAGGAACATTATGGTTGTTTAGTCAAACTTCTTGCCAACGATGGCCATTTGGATGAAGCTCTTAGAACTATTTTGACAATGCCTAACCCTCCTGATGCACATGTATTAGGATCTCTGCTTGCGGCCTGTGGACAAAATCATGATGTTGAGCTTGCAGATTATATAGCACAATGGTTGCAGAAATTGGACCCAGATAATTCAGGGAACTATGTGGCTCTTTCAAATGTATATGCAACAGTAGGAAAATGGGATAAGGTGTCAAATATAAGGGGTTTGATGAAAGAAAAGGGTCTAAGAAAGATTCCTGGGTGTAGCTGGATTGAAGTTGGGCAAGAACTACATGTGTTTATAGCTAGCGATAGATCACACCCCAAAACAGACGAGATTTATGTGACATTGGATTTGTTGGGATTTGAAATGCATTAATCAAAACATTCCCCTTATATACAATAATAATCCAACATCCTCTCCTCTTGTAAAATGAGTGTCTTGACTTTTGTGATGTAATTTTAGAAGTGACTAACATTCTAGCAAATTCATCTTCAGGAAAGAAAGGTATTACTTTATCTTCAGATGGTACGAAAGAGAAAGTAAAGGAACTACGAAGGGATGTATTTCCTAACTCGCGAAGTGATTTGAAATTGACTGGACACCCCTTTGGCCCTTTCAGATTTGGCATGGATCTATTTCAGTTGAGGGAATCCTCCATCTAAAGTTATCTCAGGCATAGCTTACTACAGTTTCATGTGATGCAGTTTCGGGTCAATATAGCCATCAAGTATCATATTTATTTATTCCGAAAAGCATTGGTTTTCAGTAGTGACACAAAACATAGTTGTAAGAACATAAGCTTGCTTGTAGGGAAAATACTCACATTACTAACCCATATCTGTCATATTTCAAAAGTCATATTCAGGTGGAATAATTGGTCTCAGTGAAAAGAGTAGATTAAATGAAAGGTGGGGCCAGAGGCTCAAGGAAACTGAGAATGACTAAATGCAAAACTAGGTGGTTTGTTTCATGTAGCCGAACATCATTACACTCAGAATGTTTGAACCTCTCCTCGCCTTCGAAATTCCCCAAAATTGGAGGGAGGCTAGGGTGTAATAGAAACCGAATACATATATGAAGAGGGTTTTGCATCCTTCCATTTCTCTCTCACCCTCTAACTAAATACTTTGTTAGACTAAAGAAAGTAAAATTGTTCTCACGTTGCATACATTTTCCTTTCCTAATCACCAAAATTGTCCCGTTTTAGTTTTCGTATATTTAAAGAAGTTTACACTAAAAAGTTATGTTTGATTCATAATGGACATAATAACAGATTCACATAGGTATCGTAATAAGAGGCTGGATAGGCTTGGCTTAAGGTAATCTTGTGATGTTAAACCAGATTTGATTTTAATTTTACTTCCATTGTTCTCATGTATTACAAATTGATGATTCACAATATGTAGAAAGGTTACATTATATTGTGTCAACAATCAACTTTACTCAAGTTATTACCCAATTATGAAAGAGTAACTTCTTTTCGAAAATTATGAGGAGGTTAAACATCAAGAGATTTTCACAAGTTGACATGAACAAACATACAAATGAATTTGACATTACATCTTTACTTAATATTATAAAACAAGAAGTATATAAATCTTTTTCACTTATATATTACTTAATATATCTAACTCTATTCATATTAAACTTTCATTCGCACTTATATATTGTACACTAACAATTGTCACAATATATATCACTTTATTCTATATTGAGCTGTATATAAAAGATTGCCTTGTGTGTTACTTTGCAATCTTTTCATTCAATCAATTTTCTGATAGCCTTAGGGAGAGAGCAATTCTCTTGAGATGTTGAGACTAAAATGTGTTATTTAGTATTTACTTATAGATTATATAGATTATGAATAGCAATGATTATACTGTAGTTGTTCTTGCAATAGTCTTTGGCAGAGATCCTCGAAGCTCACAGGCACACGTAACACATCATCAACTTACGTCTTTTATTTTCTTTGGGCAATTGACAATGTCTACCATTATATAATGGGTAGTCATAAAACGAAAACCTGTTTTGTATTAAATTGAAAGCTATTTAATATTCGTTTTAATAATAGCACATGTAATGTGATTTAGGTGGGCCTAAACTAAATAGGTTAACTCTTGGACCTGTCTCAAAAGAAGCCCACAAGTTGGAAAGTGTATTCAAGGAGGAAATAAGGAAGAGCACGACTAGAAAATAGAAATAATTGCAAGTAGGAGTAGCGGGGAGGGAATACTCATGATTAGGTTAGTTAGCCTTATTGGTTTTTTGTTTTAAATAGTAGAAAACATTACAAAAATATAACAATGTTGGAGTTTATTTTAATTATTAAACCGACTCTAGTGATTCAGTCACATTAACTTATTAGTATACTAACATATCAAAAATACTTTATGTTTCCGTATATTATATTTTAAAAAATAAAGTTAATAAGAGAGTGTAATGAGAATTAAATAAATAAATTTCTAAGAGTATTTCAATAATCGATTAAAAAAAAAAACTTTAATGAAGTGAATTGTGTTTGAATATTTTTATTCAAAGTTTGTTTTAAAACTTGGTACAAAATTTCCAAGTTAACGAAAAAGCTATATTTTATCACTTTTGAACAAACTATAGACAAAATTAATTTTAAATAATAATAAATAAACATTTATATTTTTTTTTATAAAATAAAGTTAGACGGCAGTCCAAATAAATTCTCATCATTTTAATCATGAAACTAAACTTACTTAGACAGAGAGTGCATACTTGAGATTCGGAGAGGTGAGTCCATACTATAACAACTACTTGAGATTGTTCTCCAAAGATTTAAAATGGTATTTAAATTCAATTCCTAAACGATTATTGATTTAAAATGTTTATCCCACGTTAATTCCCTCGACTAGTCCTTCACCTTTAAAAATGAAAATATTTTGTTGGTGTTAAATTTGGATATCTTTGGTTTGATTATCTCTAGTTTATTAGGTCATAAATTAATCTTGATTATAATAATTATCGTTAATTTGATAAGTTTTTAAATACAACAAAGATCAATTATATATATTTTTTATTAAATAAATTGTTCTTATAACATGTGAATGTAAAGTATCTAATTAGCCTCTGTCCTACCTAATCATATATTTGGTTTAGATATTGAGGTGATGAAATTGGCATTCTGAAATTAATTAAACATGTGATATATTATTAGGTAAAAAAAAATTTGTCACTATCATATATATTAGGTAAATATCCAAATGAGAAGCTGGGGACTCTTGGTAAATCCACAATCATTACTCTATATGTTGCTTAAACATTAACTTAGAGGGCAAGGAAATTGCTCTCTTTTGTCTCTACAAGATGAGCCATCAAATACTTTTGAATGGCTAGTAATTTTCAGCACTGCGTGAGTATTACTCTTCACTTGCCAGAAAGCCAAAAGAAGTTTGGAGCTCCTACCTCTATTTCCTTCAACAAAACTTTTTTCCTTTAGGAAAAGTTATTGTGCTCTGTCACACACTCACTCACTTTAATCCCTCCCAAAGGCAAAGTGAACCCTACCATTTCCTAAAGGTGCATTTTGATTGCGAAACTCGTTGAATGGTTATTAAGAAGAAATTTCATGAAACGACTTTGCATCCGATGAACTTTTTAGTAATACTGTCTCATTGACTGAAATATATTGCATAAAAAAAATAATTGAGTATATCATCATCACCATTCACCAATTCGGGCATCTAGACATGCTTTCAAGAATCTAAGGCTCCAATAGTGAATCCCATGATCGGTTTTACGGTTGAATGGAATTATAACTTATCAAATAAAAAAATATTATGTTCTTTTTTTATTACTTTATATCTCAACATTATTTTTATATATATAATATACTATTTTTACTTTTTTATTTATCTAAATAATCTATCTCCCATTTTATTTACCTATATGTACTAATTTATTGTGCATGGTGAAAAGTTGACCCACTTCCAACTAATTTATCACCTTAAAAGTTTTCAAATTGTGAAAATCCCTTATGAGAAATTGGTTTCTCAATATCCGATTTCTCAATTGCGATTTCTCAATTGTGTTATATGTGTGTATTAAATCGAATCTAATTTTGTTGAATTTTTTTAAAAGTTATTTTACTGATAATTAAAATTTTAAATTTAAATATTTTAATATTTTAATATTTTTAATTAATTTAAGTATTTAAATTGTATTTAATAAATATAATATTTTAATGTTTTTAATTATTTTAATTGTTTTATTTTTCTTCAATAAATATAGATATTTTAATATTTTTAATTAATTTAATAATTTATGTTTCTATTATAGATATAGATATTCTAATATTTTAATTGTTTATTTTTAATCTTTCTAAAAAAATATTTTAGTTCTGATGTAAGAAAATAAATAAAGAAAAAATAATAATTAAATAAATTACAAACATACTATCTTTTAAATATGTTTGATTTATTTAATTATTTGACTTTTCTTTAATATATATAGATAAATAATTTTAAATTACCCTAAAAAAAACAAATTTTTTATTAAACTAAATTAATTTATGTTAAACATTTAAGTTATATAACACGAAATATTTACACAAATTTTGTATTATATATTGATTTTTGTATTATATATTAATGAATATCGGTACAAAACTCTAGTTTTTTATTTTTATTTTTTGAATGACTTTTACAACATGCTACAAACATATTTAAGACTCGAAAATAGTACCGTTGAATTTATTGACATAAAAAGGTTTAAATATGTTTTTAGTCCCTTAAATTTAATATTAATTTATTTTTGAGCCCTCAAATTTAAAATTATTATTTTTAGTCCCTATAATTTCAAAAAAAAAATCTTATTTTAGTCCTTATATTCAAATTTTGTTAAGAAATTTATCAAACATTATTACATAAAATCTATCTATTGATGTCCTTATTAGTGAAAACATCACATTAAATCTAATGGATATTGCATAACCGTCTGAATTTGTCATTTTTAGATATGTTATTGGTGATTAGAGAGATTAAAACAAGATTTTTGAAAATTACAAAGACTAAAAACAACAATTTTAAATTTGAGGGACAAAAAACGAATTTGTCTTAAATTTGAGGGACTAAAAACATATTTAAGACACATAAAAACTATAAAAAAAATAGTTGTGACATGGAAAAAAATAGCTTAACAGAGACATAATAAAAGTCCATGAAGTGAGTCAATTGACATGGTTTATTGGTACAAAAGTCTAATTTTTCATTTTTCAAATGACTTTTCTAATGTGCTACAAATATATTTGAGACCTGAAAGTGTTACCATTGATTCATTGATATAAAAACTTTAGAAAATAGTTGTGAGATAGAAAAAAATTAGCTTAATAGAGGTATAACAAAAGCCCATGAAGTGAGTCAGTTGTGATGGAGGACCATCCTTGGTGCTTCATGTGAGACCCATCACACGGTTCATGGCTAGGAGAATGGAGGAAGATAAAAGAAATATCATGTATGAATCCATCTCCTAAGCCCAATTTGAGTAACATGAATTTTATTGCTTTATTCCAATTAAGGAGTCGCACTCCACTAGTACGATTATAATCAGTTAAATTGCTTATTATTAAATTAAAACATAACCTATATTATCAATTTTATAAAATCATACCTTAATTGGCAAAACCCTCAATTTCCTAAAGACTTAACCTATAGGCACTTTTTACACAATTTTGTTCTCCCTCCTAGATCATCATTTTTAACAATTCTTTACAGATTCATACTTATAAACATACATAGAATTTAATATGACCATTAATTCTCTAAACATAAATAATTATGAAATCATTCAAAATCCTAAGGGATTCTTCCTCTACTCATTCTCTCACGTAACTCTACATATAAATTTTTCCTTTTCCCTCATACCTAGTTGCGTTAATCCAAATATTCTAATGCCATTTGGAAATCATTTCCAAGCACTGCCAGAACACTCCTCCTTAGAGATCTTCCCTTCTCATTTATTTCTCTCCTGACCCTTTAGAACGCAAAATGAGGTAAATATGGTTAACTCTGCCTAACCCCTTTCTTAAAAATAATCCCCTAGGCTGGGTCAACCTAACCCATTTTCCTTCTT